TATTGTTTCTCTCAGTGTCTATGCTACTGGGGTTATATTTAGGAAGTGGTCTCCTGTGCCAATACATTTAAGTGCACTTCCCACTTTCTCTTCAATGAGGTTCATTGTGGTTGGTTTTATGTTGAGGCCTTTGATCCATTTGGACTTTTTTTGTGCGTGGCAATAGATATGGATCTATTTTCAATCTTCTACATGTTGATATCCAGTTATGCCAGGTCCATTTGTTGAATATGCTTCTTTTTCATTTTATATTTTTTGTTTCTTTGTCAAAAATTAGGTATGGCTTGATATCCGGGTCTTCAATTCTGTTCCACTGGTCCTTTTGTCTGTTTTTATGCCAATACCAGGCTGTTTTCAGTACTGTATATAGTCAGAGATTGTGATGCCTCCAGGAGGTTCCTTTACTGTACAGGATTGTTTTGGCTATCCTGGGTTTTTGTTTTTTTGTTTTTCCGTATTAAGTTGAGTGCTGTTCTTCTGAGGCCTGTGATGAATTTTGCTGGGATTTTGATAGGCATTGCATTGAATCTGTAGACTGATTTTGGTAAGATTGCCATTTTTACTATGTTAATTCTACCTACCCAAAACATGGGAGATCTTTACATTTTCTGGTGTCTTCTTCAATTTCTTTCTTCAAAGATTTAAAGTTCTTGTCATACAAGTCTTCCACTTGTTTGGTTAGTTACTCCAAGATATTTTATATTATTTGTGGCTATTATGAAGGGTGATGTTTCTCTGGTTTCTTTCTGAGTTCACTTATCATCTGTATAAAGGAGGGCTACTGATTTTCTTGAGTTAGTCTTGTATCCTGCTACATTACTGAAGGTTTTTATGAGTTGTAGGAGTTCCTTGGTAGAATTTTTGGGATCACTTATGTAAATTATCATATCATCAGCAAATACTAAGAGTTTGACTTTTCCTTTTCCAATTTGTATCCCCTTGATCTCCTTTTGCTGTCTTATTGCTCTACCTAGAACCTCAAGTACTATATTGAATAGTATGGAGAGAAGGGACAATCTTTTCTTGTTCCTGATTTCAGTGGGATCGCTCTGAGTTTCTCTCCATTTAGTTTGATGTTTGTTGGCTGTTGGCTTGTTGTACAATGCTTTTATTATATTTAGGCATTTTCCTTGTATCCCTGCTTTCTCCAAAACTTTTATCATGAAAAGATGTTATATTTTGTCAAAAGCCTTTTCAGTATCTAATGAGATTTTCATGTGTTTTGTTTTGTTTTTCAGTTTGTTTATATAGTGGATTACACTGACAGATTTTTGTATCCTGAACCATCCCTGTATCTCTGGGATGAATCCTACTTGGTCATGGTGGATGACAAAATCATCATGTTTGAACAGAATCTTTTAACCTACCAGGTAATCTGGTAAATGCCCAGATTATATCAACTTGGAGCAATCTCCCAACATTCTGAAAGGACTTAAGATTGGATACTTAGAGTACTTTTTAAATTAAGCAAATATGCTTATTCCTAATCAAAGTCATTTCAAACCAGTAGCTAGTAAAATATTTAGCTGTATTTAGCACTGGGTCACATATTACTGTAGCATACATGTTGAATAACACTTTTACTAATGAAAATTTTGCCTAATATAATAATCTCACTAGATTTTCTAACATGGCGCTTTAAAGAAAAAAAATCACAAAATTACTGGAGGAATGTACAAGTACAGACAATCCATTTACTTTCTCACTCAATCCATTTCCACCCAAGGTAGATCATCACTTTACTGTAAAACATAAAGTGGCTGCACAATCTGCCTACTGACATTTTGTTTTGCTGTGTGGCCTGGCACGGGGGCTCACACCTGTTGGCTGGCAGGACTAGAGCTCATGTTCTGGCAAAGCCTTGGGACAATAGCTGAACCTCACTGTGCGGCAGCTGCTTCATCTGGAAAGGGTGATAATACCTATAATCCTAAAACTCCTACAGAGTAAGCAGCACACACTCTGAATCACTTCTTAGCATTGTTAAGAGAAAATTAACCTAACAACACTTCTACTATCTAGAATCAAATACAAAATGGTGAAGGAGTAAATTTAAAAATCAAAGGCTAGAGAGACTCCTCCACTGAAACCTACTGTATCCTACCCTCCTGTTTTGTAAGTTTAGTTGTTTTTGTTTATTTAAAGCAGTATCTTTTAGTAAGTAAACAAAACTAAGTGAAATGGGCCTACTATCCAAATTTCTGATATAAATTTCTATTTATAATTTCTATATAAAAATGTTATATATGTTCTAATGAAAATGTTTCTTATAGAACTCCAAAAAACTAAGATTTTTGTCTTTTGGGTTTTGTTCCATTGTTTATCCCTACCTAGTCTGAAGCTTGCTATGTAGATCTGGCTGGGTTAGAACTCTGCGATTCTCCTGCTCCTGCCTCCCCTATGTGTCTTACTGTTTGCATCATATGCATGTAGGTACCCGCAGAAGGCAGAGGAGGGCTCAGACAACCTGGAACTTTAGTAACAAGCCCCGTCCGTGACCTAGCTGCTGTGGGTCTGGAAGAACAGTAATTGCTCCTAACTCTGAAGCCATACCCCTAGCCAATGAGACATTTTTTTTTTAAGTTTTCATACCACTAAAGACATTTCTGACCTAATACTGGAAATAGTAAATATGTAGTGAGCCTATGTGTAAAGGACAGTTCTGAATAATTTAAAATGTGCAAATAAACCAGACATCAATCCTAGACCTAAGAACCACAACAAAAGATAAACTTTCCCACCTCATAAGCTAAGGTACTACTAATAGGAGGCATTTTATATACCACTAAGGTAGAAATAATAACAAGTAAATTATGACAACAGTTTAAATAGGTCTTAATTCTAGAATTATTAAAATGTACAAAAACATACATCATTGTTTGTTTAATTAGACAAGCTTAATGTGTAGATCAGGTGATATCAAACTGCTGATATTCCTGCCTCAGCCTTCTAAGTGCTAAAATTGTAAGCTTACACTACCACATTTGGCTTGAAAAAATACATTTTAAATAGCTAAAAAAGGATATGAAAATAAATAAATGCAAAATACTGAAGTCACATGAAAGAGAGCATAGAATCAATAAAATATACCCAGGTTATAAGAAGTGCTTTATTTAGAGGGTCACATTGAAGCTAATTTGAAAGTTAAGTAGAAATCAGAAATGCAGATGCTAAGAGAAGAAATGTTTTCATAAAGAGAAATTATAAGAAAAATATCAATAAGACATTGGCAGAGAGAAATATTTTCAGATAAATAGCCAAAGCAGTAGGGGTTAGAAGAAGCCTTAAAGAGGCCGAAACTGACACAGAAATGTGAGGAATGAGCCTCAAACTATTTCCTCAACCCACGATGTGTTAGAGTCATAATGCGCATAAGCGGCGTATCTCTAGCAGTGAGTCTCGACTGTGAGAGATGAGAAAGTGGTAAGGCGATTAACTTCATTGGGAGAAAGGCCCGAGAAGCCTCTAAAAACTGCTACATCCCTCCCACTCCACCTTTGAGAGTCACTGCAGTAGGAAAACAAAAGTTGTGTCTCCAATTGAATTACATTTCAGGAAATATAATGGAGTTAAAACTGTAGGAAAATAAAGGGCAGAAAAGAAGGCACATATAATAACCTCAAACAAGGACAACACATTCTAAAATGTCAGCAGATCATTCCCGTGACCACCATCACAAAGGACGATGAAGTTTCAGCCTGAACAAAAACAGATGTGACTATCATTCAGGTACTAAAGCCACAACTTGGATGAAGACCCAGAAAGGACATGAAAGAAGGCACCACGAGGCAAATATTCCGGAAGTACGATATTCTTATATTGATCCAGCTCATTCCCAGTCTTAATGCCAAAACAACACGGCAACCAAAACTCTCTTAGGATCCAACAAGCGTGTAAACAACAGGAACACTGAATATCCAAAGTCACCTCCTACTGTAAACCGAGTAAAACTCAAGTCTACAACTTTGAAAGAGACAGAGAGCAGCTTAGAAGGGACAATTACAAGGACACCTAGTGCTTCAATTAGTCAAACACCCACAGTAATGCAGTTTGAAAGAAGAATAATTATAGCTATATCATAGTATTAAAGTATTTTCACCTTTAAAAAAGGGTTTAGTAATAATCTAAAAATCAACTTCTTAATTATGTAATTTTTCCAAGAATTTTTAAAGCCAATAAAGCAATATCATCCTACATGTGAAAATGTGACTTTTAGTTGTATAAAGCAATGAGTTTTATTATGACATTTTCATAATAGGACTTCATATAGCACACTTTATCACGATCTCCCTCGCTGTCCTCTTTTCGCCCCCACATCATCTCCCTTCCACTGGTTCCCTTCTTCCAAAACAATCACCTCTCTAATGGGTGTGATTTCAAGTCACATATGAAGAAAATGTAGTACACTATCCTGGTGCTGGAAATACACCAACCGAATTAATAAAACTCTGTTCATTCTGACTGAATCTTTTCTGACAAAGTTCCTTCCAGAGTTAGGACGTGAAAAGAGTAGAAAAGACGTGGAATGGAGAAATGTGTAAAGGAAACAGAGGCAAGAGTGATCAGAGTGACCCAGCAGACTCGCTGCAGTGCAAACCTGAAGATCACCATGGTGAATAGAACAAAGTCCCTGAGCACCTCTTCCTTCTCTTTTGTCCTGGGAGCAAGGCATGATAGTGATGCCCAAAGATCATACATAAAAACTGGGTGTATGTGGAAGACGGAAGAAACTGGGCACCTGCTGAGTAAAACAAAGAACGCACAATCTACAACCTGTGAAAGGATCCGGCAACGTGGACCAGACATCCGTGTAGCATGTTAGCAGCCTGGGAAAAAAACATTTCTCTTGCTATCACTCTGACTACTGCTGTTACATAAGCAAATTCTAAGGAAAAACAAAAAGAAAACCCAGATAGTCAAATGCTTTTCCAAAGCCAGAGTTCTACAATATAAGGTCAAATTTACACACAGCAACATGTTTGAAAAGAAATGTGAAATACCTCAGTCTGACCTTCATGTGCACTGGTCTCATGAGTAACTCGAATAGCCTGCAATAAGAATATAAACTGTTTACAAAAAATAAAACAACTATATGCAACCTTTAAATGAAACAAAGCTCAACTTTTCCCATCTAAAATCCTGTAACGAGGCAGGAAACTGGAAGAACTTTAGGAGCAGTTTAGCACTACGCCTTTCAGAACTGCATCTATGTAAGCAAATCACTGCTGTCCCTTTGACCCACAAACCTCTTAAGCTTTGGGAAACCCACTAGCTCATAGTTTCTAACTTGCACAGTGCAAGTAGAGGGTCATTTAGCTTCCTTAAATGTTAGAGGCCACACTTAACACTTTATTTCCTTGAGCCTGGAATAAAGCGGGCAGCTCACAGAAACTGAAAAAGCTGATTTTATCTGTCTCTCCAAGGTGCATGCTCCTGCAGCTCTGGCTGAATTTATGCTTACTCATGCAGTTCAGTCAGCAGTTTAATAACGTGGTGCAAAAGGCATGCGTTTATGAGAAGCTAGGAAATTCAGTTATCTGAACTTAAAAATGCTCTAATCATACCCACTATTATCGAAGATGCAGAAAAATGGGCACAATAGAAAAATCAGGGGTGAAAGTATAACTGTTATGTTTAGCAATTAGGTGATAAGTATTAAAGCCATAAAGACATGCAAACTGATCAGCAATTTCTCTTCTAGGGGTTACTATGTTGATATATTAATGTATGTGAATATATGAAATTAAGGATGGTTTGAAAACCTCAGACACAATAATACACATTTGCAATAATTTTAAATAGTGAAGAAAGAAGGAAAACTATTAGATTTCAAACATCATTTTACTGATTAAATATACTATAAAATGGAAAGCTACTCAGCCATTAGAATAATAATGTTAAACATATACTTACTGGTGTTAATACGTTTGTGATAAGTGAAAAAAGCAAGTTATAAAACAGTATTACAGTGTGATCAAATTTTTAAAAAATTGTGTATATACATCTATGTTCCCTATAAAAATATCAAGGATAGCTACTGTTCACTGGTGGAATTATTGGCAACTGTCATGTTATTTTACTTTTAAGCAAAATAAAGACTTCTTATGAAACTTCAAGCAACTAAACTATTTTAGAACACTAAGCACAATAATAAATGTACACCATGTTGCTTTTCTAATTTCAAAGAACATGATCTATTGATATTACTAAAAGGCAAAAAGCCTTTGGAAAAATAAGAATTTCAGAACTAATAAATGTTTAGAATAATCATTTCAAATTAAATTAGAGAGTACAGCTATTAATTTGCAAACTGTATTTGTTTGTTCATTCTGCCCCGGACACAGAACTGTCAACCGGAAAATATTATAGATATTTCATGTACGATTACCTGAAAAAACAAAAGCCCTTGGAATGGATATGACAAATGATGTTTCCCCAAACTACAGTTTCAAGACATCCACTAAACAGAACCTATAATCCTGTAACGCTGCCCATGGATGGGTCAAGACAGAAAGAAGGTACTGACGTCATAGTTCTCCAGGTACTTGGCTCTTTCTTCAGGGCTCATTGACACAGACTCCTCCAGGAATTTTTTCAAGGTTGATCCAGATTCTGAGAATGTCAAAAATGATTAAAAATTTAAGTTTAACTACAGAAAAAAAACCCTAACAACAAAAGTAGTACAGTATTTTCTTAGGTAGAAATCCTTTAACCGGTAAGTTAAGAATCTAAGATTCTTGGAATAAATAACTAAGTCAAATGTATTTTGCTCAGCCTGTTCATCAACAATATAAAAAAATGGAAGGATTAACATCGCTCCTGGTTCATTGTCTAGTCCCATAACAAAAGAAGGGAGGCACTGCTTTCTAGTTTGAGAGTCAGGGCACCCCCTACTGTTGAACAAGTTAACACATCTGCAGGGAAACCAGAGCAGAAAAGATTTACCGAAGTGCATCTTGTCCTTGTTGTTTGCAATGGCGTGGATTAACCCTATTGTCCCGCAGGCGTTGCTGATGGTTTGCTTCATGAAATACACTGATGACGTAACATCTTGTCCTTGAGATTTTATTTTTTCTTCCTCTTCTGTTCTGAACACTTCATACTAGTGGGGAAAAAAGTCAAAAGTCCACATGCAAAACCACACATTAAAAAGAACACTCAAGTTTGTAAAGGAAAGGCTATGGATGATGAGATTTAGAACAAAATAAGAAAAGATTTAAAGTAAGATTGTCATCTATCAGACTAACAAAAGACTGGCAACAGTCACTGTGCCAGTAAAGGCATGAGAGAAAGACAGCCTTGCATTACTATTTCACTCATTGCTTGCTTTCAGATAGGTTGCTCTGGAACATGAGTTCAAATGATTCTCCTGCCTCAGCCTTTCAAGTAGCATGGACTGCAGGCAAATTCCATGGCACTCAGCTTCATATGCCATTGTTAAAGTCATTGGCACGACCGCACTATGAGGCACACAGCAATCTGCATTAACACTTTCCACAACATCTAACAAATACATAACAAACAATTACCTTTGCAATAGCTTGGTTTAAAATATAACATTTAAATGTACAATCAGCGATGAAAGTATAATTCCACAGTAGCACTAGCCTTGGATGCATGAAGTCATAGGTTCAATCTCCAGCATCACAGATACACAGACACAGAGACACACAGACACAGAGGCTGAATAAAACGATTAAGTATATCTACAGCTCATGTTGCCCCATCTGGGGTCACTGCATTTTGACCTCATATTTTATCAGCTAAGAAAGCCCAGCTATGTCAAGCATGCTGACACAGGCCTATAATGCCAGCATTTTGTGTCAGCATAACACTGTATCGGGGCACGACAAAATCCCAGATGTAATCTGGGATCAAGCATCAAGAAGCCAAGGCAGGTTTACAAAATAGAGGCTAACTAGGATCCTATTTGAAAATAAAAACAAAACCCCTAAAACATAAAATTTAAGAAACCTAAGCTATCAACAAGTGACTTCTTCTTTTCTCTTTCAATTCTTTTTTAACTACTCATTACTTCTGGAGTCTGAGGATAGATCCCTACTGCTTATTAAGTAATCAAAAAAGATGAAAAGAACACTGGACTGGAGAGTAATACTTTGTCCTTTCTCTCCTACAAGTTTCAGATTAAGCACAAACCCAACAACTAAATTTGTTTGAACTAAATATAGATAATTTATACAACTTCTATGAAGACCAGATGTGCAGTGCACAGTTTACTCCACCACTCTGGAGGCAGAAGCAAGGACTCTCTGTGAGTTCAAGGCCAGTCTATTTTACACAGAGCATTCTAAGTCAGCCAGGGCGGGGGGAGGGGGGAGAAAGAAAAAAAATCCTAACTAAATTTTTATGACTGTTACAAATGTGGAGAAAATAGCTTATTGAATAATTTGTTTTGCAGAGTCCTCACAGAGGAGGAAGCAAACTTGCTATATTATTTATCCTAAGGACAACTAATGGACTTATGTCACCAAGAAGCAGGTTGCTGCATGGTGGTGATCTAGGCAGATCTGTCCTCTTGCACCTGTCAATTCAGCCACATGTCAGCACTGCCACAAGCACTTCTCAGCTTTCAGAAGGCCTGAGCTCATCCTACTGCTCCTAGTCTAAAGTCAGAAGGGAAGACGATGAGGATGTCCTAAACTGCGCACAGCATTCCAACTCTGCTCCATGCACACCGAAACACAGAGACCTAAGACACCTACTTATCATGCCCAATACATTCTCTCAATTAAACCATATCTAAGTTTAGCGATGGTCCCCAAATCAAGTTTGCATTGAAAATAATGGATCCACACCATCAGTTTCCCCTACCTCCTTAAAATAAACAAAGGTCTGCTTTTATAATCACAATCAAGATTGTTTATATGCTTTACAAGTTGCAAACCTGAATATTCTTTATTAATATGTTTTATAATAAATATTTAAATGTCTACTTAAAATTTCAAAGAATAGGCCAGGCAGTCGTAGTGCACGCCTTTAATCCCAGCATTGGGAGTCTGAGGAAGGCAGCTCTCTGTGAGTTCGAGGCCAGTCTGGTCTACAGAGTGAGTTTCAGGATAGCTGGAACTGTTACACAGAGAAACACTGTCTTGGGGGGGAAAAAAAATCAAAGAATATTCATGAAAATGGTATTAAATGCTGCATTAAACCAAAGCTGAGGCAAGCTAACCATATCTTCCAAGGGAAAAACAGCTAAAAGTAAAAGAGCAACACAGACTTTATTGTCAATCTATAATCTAAATCTTTTACTTTAATAAGACATTAGTATTTCCTTATGATGATATGCAACAAAGGCATCATTTGTTTTTAGAGATTATGTCTCAACACAATATCAAACGTCTGCACTTATCAGAAACTACGTATCTTGCTTTACAATTACCTTCTCTGTGATGGGGAAGAGGAGTAACACTGCACACACTGGTCTTGGCACCATGCTGAGAAGTTCAGGCTCCATCCCGTACACATCAACAAACTGCCAGTTAGGGTGCAGGCCTAACTGTTTGAGAAACTATTAAGAGAAAAAGCAGCAAAGGTTAAGTAGTAAAAGAAAACCTGTGGATATTAACAGGGAAATGATCAACAAGTGTGCGCACCACAGATCTAGTATAGAGAAAGGACTGTGATCAGTATTACTTATGTTCAGTAAGAATGGAGAAGACAGCACTTTCAAACCACAGAATGTACACCATAAATACATATAATCCTTATCTGTCAAGTATACCATAGTGTGAGAGGTGAGGAACACAGCAAAGCAAGTCTGCAATGGACAGACTAGGACAAGAGCAATGTATATCACATAGCAGTTAAAACTCATAACATATTAAACAAACCTGTTCTCAAATCTATTACTTTGGTACTGAATATGATAGCCAGGACTTCACAAAATATATACAAGTCTCCTTAAGAACTTAATTCCAGACTTTAAAATGCATCAATTAAACAATGAATTATTTTCCTTCAACAGTTTATCCTGCTACCCAAAAATAACTCCTGTAGTTTGAAGACAGATATTGTATTGTTGTATCAAGCAAAAAGTAACACAGTGCACATTGCAGACACACACGTAGGCAAACACTTGGAAAAATAAATAAATAAATAAATAAATAAATAAATAAATAGAAATGCAGGTAAGAACCTCTCGTGGGTATTGCTTTCACCTCTCCATCAAGCTGCATGGTCTAGACTATAGAGAGCAAGGACTATGACCATTCTTCAACACATTACTATAATGATTTCAGGGCTTGGTAAAGTTCATAGGCACATTTGAAAAGATTTCTATTTGCCTCCATTTTCTCCAGATTTACTGTTCTAGGCCAGTCTTAATATTCAATCCTACTTAGAAACCAAAAAAGAAAAAGAGATTAAAAAAAGAAAAAAAGGTTCAGTGTTAAGGGAAGAAATTCCTATTGTTTCCCACTGCTATGCTGGCGTACAAAGGAGTTCCACAATAGCCTGGAATGGAGTACAACAAAGGCTTATTTATCTGGGGATGAACTCACAGAAAGAGTAGCGATCCACAGTCCTCTGCATGCACTGGGAACTGGACCCAAATCCAGCAGCCAAGAGGCCCATGCACACCTTTTGTCTGCATTTATAGTACATGAGACCATGCCCAAAGTATATAAAATAGCACCCACCATTTGGGGCATGGACCCACATAAGAACTAACAAAGCCTAATAAAGCTTTAAAAAGAGGGCTTATAGACCCACAAAAATGGGAGCCAAACACAGCTTCTTGGTAGTCACATTTTTTTTTTTTTTTTGTTTTCAGATAGGCTCATTTGCTGGTTGCAAGCAGAGGTGTGGCTTCTTTAAGAGACAGCTTCCTGGTTTGTGCTGGCTCTTTCAGCAGGTCCTTTACTTAAATGGGGTTTGTGAGCAGTGCTACTAGTTGCTTAATGGCAACATAGACCTGCTGCATCCAGGAGCTGGGGCAGTGCGCATGGCTAGCAGAGGTGGTAAACATACCTACGCCATGATGGATGGGGCAGAACCAACAGGCAGGGCTGTGGAGTTGGTCCTAGTCCTGCCCACTTGGCATTTAAAAAGGGGGTAGGGACGTTCCTGGTCAGAAAATGATTACAGATTCACAATAAAGACAGAGAGAGGCAAAAATGATCCTCTAAAAGAGACAGTGTGCTTTAAGAATATACATAGGCTTGGGAGAAAGGGGGGAAGTATGAACAGTTAGAAAAAGAAGTAAATGCTGTTAAGTAATATAAAAGATTGCAGACAGAAATAGATCAAAGGAGTAAAAAAAAATAAGCCACATAAAGATGGAATATACACAAATTATGTATATTATTGTGTTTTCTTTGAATTTTTTGACTGCAGAGGTAATATTATATTCTTCTGGGGCCTTTAAGGAGTTAAAGACAGATAATTATAGTTTTTCTTAGTTATGATAAAGGATAAATTAAATATAAAACTTTAGATTCACAAAGATAGGATAAATGATATTTTCATTAATTTGCCAAATATAAACAGATTAAATATTGTAACTGTAATTCTTGTTTGATACCTGTTTCATTATATGTAATTTTACTATGTTAAAGTTAAAAACCTTCCTTTTAATTAGACAGTTTTGAGGGGCTACTAAGTTAAATCAACATAAAGGTATCTTGAGTTCCAAATTTAACTCTAAGGTTATTTTACTTTGAAAAATAGGTTCTGCTTTCGTTTCTACAGAAGATGAGAACCTGTGGATTCTGTCCAGGCTAATGTGGTTTGATGGAACAAGACCCCAAAAGGTCTGCAAAAAACCCTAAAAATACTTTGCCCAACAGCAGGAAGCAGTTTGGAGAAAATTATGTGCAAATTCTCAAAATGATTATTTATAAATGATTGTTTTCATTTAAAGGGGAATATGATACATAGAGATGAGTGCTTTACATTGGTATGGACTTTGGTCTATTGATACAAATTTAAGGTCAATTTGTTACACTGTGTGTGTGTGTGTGTGTGTATTTCTGCTCTTGTTTAAAGTATTGTGTTTAAGTAGCTCATTGAAAAATGTAATATATAATTTAAAAATTTGGATTAATAAATAGCAATTATAATAGTAAAACTTGTAGTCATGTTAGTTAGGTTTTCTAGATATACAAAGATATATGTCAGTTAAATAGATAATCATTAACACTTCAAAGAACTACAAAATATGGCATTTAAAATGTTTTAAGAACTTAGACTTTTCTTGACAGTGCTTCACAGAAGAAACTGCCAGACATTTTGCAAGACACAGAAAAAAAGCAATTGATAAACTTTACCAGTACAAGGCAAAACAGATCTTCATAAAAAAGTCTGCAAGATACTATGGGCCGGTAGGCTAAAGATGGGCGCCCCAATGTTACAAAACAAAACAAAACAAAAACAAAAACAAAAAAAAACCTCTGGGTGACTGTCCAGGCAGCAAGATGTCTCTGTCAATTCTAAAACTTTGAAAGTTACTTACAATACAATTCTTGCTTATTTAGGTAATATTATATTCTTCTGGGGCCTTTAAGGAGTTAAAGACAGATAATTATAGTTTTTCTTAGTTATGATAAAGGATAAATTAAATATAAAACTTTAGATTCACAAAGATAGGATAAATGATATTTTCATTAATTTGCCAAATATAAACAGATTAAATATTGTAACTGTAATTCTTGCTTGATACCTGTTTCATTATATGTAATTTTACTATGTTAAAGTTAAAAACCTTCCTTTTAATTAGACAGAAAAGGAAGAAGATGTGGGATGTCCTTCTATATATGCACTGCTTTTACTGGCTAATGAATAAAGCTGCTCCGGCCATGGCTTAGCACAGCAAAGTCAGCAGGAAATCTGAACAGAGATGTAGAGAGAGAGTAGGCAGAGTCAAGGAGACAGATGCCAGAACCTACTGGTAAGCCACAGCCTTGTGGCAATATACAGATTAATAGAAATGGGTTAAGATGTAAGAACTAGCTAGAAATATGCCTAAGTTATTAGCCAAACAGTGTTGTAATTAATACAGTTTCTGTGTGATTTTTTGGGCTGGGCAGCCATGAACAAACATGCAGTCTCTGCTTGTATTGCTTAACACTACATACCTGGTCAAGCCAGGTGTCTCTTGAACTGAAATGAATACATTTCAATAGATACCTTACCATCTATATGCCTGCATGTGACTTAAGCTGGTTTACACTAAACATTCAATGTATACTCTTTTTCTTGTCAGCTAAAGAAGATTGGGACTTTTAGCTCCTTATCTACAATCTGATGTTCATTAAGTCAACCTGGACAAAACTGCTCAGTCACTGTAAAGCTACACCTGTCTAGCAACTGCTTCATATCACGGCCAATAAAAGCACACTAGTAGTGATTGCTATGCATGGAACAAGGGAAATAAGTTAAATGAGAAATAATAGTTTAGGAACCAAAAAATAAATTTTAACAGACTGCCTAAAAATAAGACAAGATCAAATTTCCTCAACCTGAGAATAGGGAATCACTGAAAATATTTTATGTGAAAGTTAAAAAAAAAAAGATTTATTTCATCGCTGGCTCAATATGGACTAAGTAAAATTATCAAAAGGAGACACAATGTTGGCTTTCTGAGAAAAGCATCATTCAGGACAATAGCAACAGCCCACCATACCAAGCAAAGAAGATGCAGCATGAATTATGGAAGAGCCCTGAACACACCCACTTTCAGAAAGGGTAACAACAAGAGGAGGACCCCAAAGACTCTGACCCAAGATCCTCAAAGTGGGAGACATGGTGTGATGGTTTCAATGAGGATGTTCCCACAGGCTCACGTACAAGAACGCCTGCTCCACAGTGGGTGGTGGTGTTTGGAGAGATTTCAGAGTGCCGTCTTGCTCTAGGAAGTATATCAGTGGAAGTGGGCTTTGGGTGTTTACAGTCTCAACCTACTTGTTCGTGACCTGCTTTGTGTCTGTGGTTCAAGATATGAGCTCTCAGCTTGCTGTCCCCACCACCATGCTGGCATCTGCAGCTGATGTTCCCCTCTCGCAGGGACTCTTAAGCCTCTGGACGGTAAGCCAAAACAAACTCACTCTTCCTTAGTTGTCTTGGCCATGCCGTTTATCACAGCAACGGAAAGGTAACTGATACAGAATGGCATGTTCAGATTGGACTTAAATTATTGAACCTTGGCCTCCGTGTTAGTAATATCAAGAAAGAGCAATTAGATTTGTGCTAGATGCCTTGAATGGAAGGACTAATGAACAATTAAAAGTTGTAAAAAAGCAAAATTTGTTCCAATAAAAATAAATATTACTTTACTAATTAAATGTTATTCTCATTGCTGCAATAAAAAAACAAAAGCAACTTAGAAGACAAATTCTGTTGACTGAAATATTCAGGGAAGGATCCATTACCACATAAACTTCTGAGGAATTTTCCAGGGCAGAAAAGCAGCTTCAGAAGCTCAACTCATTCTTTGCTATCTATGAGCTGGCAGCTCCTTGAAGGCCATGAGACACTCATGACACTTCAGTCCGCTCTCTACTCTCAAAGAAC